CGGGCAGGCGGGCCGGGTCCGGTGCTCCCGCGGCCTCCTCGCCGGGAACCCAGGGCCGTGCGCGTTCTCGCACTTAAAGGCGCAGGCCCCGCGCGCGCCCGCGCTTAAAGGCGTAGGCAGCCCCCTCCTCCCTCTTCCCTCCTCCCTCCTCCCTCCTCTCAAAGGCGCGCCCCTAACACCACCTACCATGGAGTCGCCCTGGAGCTGCTGGGAATAAGAATATCCCTGAATAAAGACAGACAGAGACTCTGAGGCTAAGAGAACAGATAGAGACTGAAAATATGGATAGGCTCAGACTGGGAGCCTGGAGTAGAATGGGGGACACAGAAATACATTGAAGGAGAGAGGTGGATACACAGAGGCAGTGAGAGACTCAGAAACAGACACTGGAGGGAAGGACAAGTCAGAGGCATGCTGTCTGTCTGTCTATCCATCCATCTATCTAATCTCTCTCTATCCCCTCACCCACATATGCAGCACTGAGCAACTCAGTGTCCAGTACCCATTCACATCCTTGAACATAGCCCTCCGAGTCCTTAGATGCCCACGCATCTGCCTCCCCGCCCTCTGTTTCAGCACCACCTTCGCTTCCTGCCTTCTTATCCGGGTTCTGTCCAGTAACAGGTTTGTTCTTTTAGGCAAGAGGGGATCGTTTCACTGGTTGGAAGGAGGAAAGTTGACACTGAGAACCGTGTCTTCGGGGATGAGGAACAGAGTTCAAGACACACTGACCAGAGGTTCTGAAGAGGGGAGGGAGAGAAGACAGGAAATGGGTCACAGCCAGGAGGGGGACAGGCTGATCCAGAGAAGTGTGTCTGTTGTCTTCTCTTGTTTCTCTCCACTCCCACTGAAGACCCTGGCCGGATTTGTGCCAACACATAACTCGAGAGGAGAGGTGTGGGGGGACAGGAGAAGCAGAGGTGGGTGGTCCCCCTCTCTTCTGGCAGATGGTATATAAGGAAGGGGGGTATGGGTGATGGCCCACAAGCCTGGTCTGGGAACTTGGCTGTAAGCATGTGGGAAGCATGGTCTCCCAGAAGCCCTGTAGCAGAGGAGACACACACCACCTGGGTGCCCTGAGGTGGGCACAGAGCTAAGAGCCGTCTGAGCAGCGGCGTAAGCAGTGTGACCTTGAGGTGGCATGTGGATGTCCATCCACCCTGGCATTTCCCAACTCTGCTGAAGGTTTCAGAATTCACTTTTGGCTCCTTCTACTTATGTCTATTGAAAAATTGTAGCTAAAATTAACTCAGCCCTAGGGCCCACCTTTCCAGATGATTAGCAAAGTTCGTCAGCTCTCCTGGCCCAGCACAGTGGATACTAGACACTCAAAAGCTCAGGAAGAGGCCACAGAAGTTAGAAACACTGCTGAAATGCTGGGATTTCGGAAGACATGGGGGCCATCCCGAGAGTGGGAGAATTCAGTGGTACTGGTAGAGTTGGGGACTGATGACAGGAAACTGAGGTAGGGAAAAGGGAAGAGTTTCATAGGGGAGAGAAACCGTATAGAAGTGCTTTGGTGGGCACGAGGTTACCTTTCTGGCCAGCTGGGGCTCAGCTCTGCTGAAGAACTTTACGGAACCTTCAGAACACATCAGGACTGCAGAGCTGGTGCAGCTGTTCCGGGGACCACATCTGGAGGCTCACCGGAATAAACCAATGGCATCTGAATGTGCAGGGAACTGTCCACCACAGCTTTGCTGAAGCCTGTTGGGTGACGGAGATGCAGCAGTTCACATATGCTGGAAACGGGGAGGCAGAGGCAAGGACGCTGTTACCATCGGCCATTGTCACACTAGTTAACGCTTGCAATGGTCAGTTTTCACTGACAGTCTGACTGGATTTAGACATGCTCAGGAGAGGCTGGAGAGATGGCTCCGAGGTTAAGAGCACTTGCTGCTTTTGCAGAGGACTGTGGTTGGGTTCCCAGCACCCGCACGGTGGCTTGCAACCATTTGCAACTCTGGTCCCAGACATCGGATGTTCTCTTCTGCCCTCTGCAGGCACCAGGCATGCATATGGTGCACATATATACATCTAGGCAAAACACTCACGTAAAAATAAAAAAATAAGGGCTGGAGAGATGGCTCAGAGGTTAAGAACACTGGCTCTTCTTCCAGAGGTCCTGAGTTCAATTCCCAGCACCCACATGGTGGCTCACA